GCCAGAAGCCCTCCCTCTGGGAGCCTACAAGGCAGGAAGCTAGCCATGTCACTGTGATTATGATGTCTTTAAAATCTTTTGGGAAGGTGGATAGCTGGGTTGAATGGAAACATTTCATTATTTTTAATTGTTTAAGCACATTAAAAACTAAAAACAATTACAGAAAATAGACATTGTTGTACCTTTTGGGTAATGTTGCAGTCTTCAAATTTTTCTATAGAAGCCTCTTTGACAAATTTGATTTTACAGAAGAATGGTAGGCCAACTGCTAGGTTATTTTTTGACAACATATTTTCCTATGGTACTGCCAGGTGTGGTGGCTCATACCTGTAAGCCCAGCACTAGGGAGGCTGAGGCAGGAGGATCGTTGCGAGTTTGAGACCAGCCTGGGCTACAAAGTGAGCTCAAGGCCAGCCTGAACTGCACAGTGAGACACTGTCTCAAAAAAGACAAAAAACAAAAAACAAAAAACATATTTTCCTATGGTGTAACATCCAAATAGCCTTTTATTACATAACGATTCTTATTTATTTTGTGGTAATGGGGATTGAACCCACGTCCTCCAGCATGCTAGGAAAGAGCACTATCACTGAGCTACCTCCTTAGCCCTTTTTTATTTTATTTTGATATCTGCCCAGACAGGCCTCAAATTCATAATCCTCCTGCCTCAGCCTTCCAAGTATAGTAGCTGGCACTAGAGGCATGTGCCCTCTAGTTCAGGCTGGCCTTGAACTCACAGTGACCCTGCTGCCTCAGCCTCCCAAGCGCTGGGATTATAGATGTGCACCACCGTGCCCAGCAGCTATCTTATTCTCAAAGCCAAGACTGATCAGAAGAGGCAAAAAAGATCACTACATAGTAATTAAGGAAATGATTCAATAGGAAGAGATAGCAATTATAAGCACATAGGCACTGAACACTGGTGGACCCAACTTCATAAAACAAACACTACTAGGCATAAAAGAGCATAAACATCAACACAGTTATAGTGTTGTGGGGACCTCAATACCCCACTGTCACATATAGACCAACTAGACAAAAAAAAAAAAAAAAATCAACAAAATAAATCAAGAATTGTACCAAACCTTGAAACAAACAGATTTAATAGGTAGCTACAGAGTGTTCCACCCAACAATAGCATGAGTTTAAGGTCAGCCTGGGCTACATAAGCAAATTCAAGGCCAGTCTGCACTAATGGTGACACCCTCTCTCAAAAAAAAAAAGAAAGAAAGAAAGAAAGAAAGAAAGAAAGAAAGAAAGAAAGAAAGGAAAAGAAAAAAGTGAGTCCAAATACAGTATATAACCTAATAATGCACCTC